TGTGCTACACCCGTGGTGGCGGTTATTGCGTTAGATGCGATGGAAAAACACAATCTGCATCTGCGATAAAAAGGATTTAACAAAAGAGTTCGAGACCTTGAGACTGGTCAGAAGCCCCCTCCTGCGCATTTCTTCAATGCAGATGTCTGTGCAAAACACACATACTTGCACATAGCTAAATTAATTCATAATATCTATGTGGACTCAGCCCCTCCACCCCCCCCCCAAACCACCAAAAAAAAACCTATTCCTTTGAAAAAGCATAATTATACAATGTAGTAAGAAATTATGTGGCACGCCTGAATTTGACCGACTTTCTTGTCCAAATGACTAACGACCCCATTCCTATAGACACCACCAGTCTACGCATATCGATCCAACACCACGGACACTCTGAATGCAATCAGTTTAACAGTTTAACCCCCTGGACCATCCCACTATGCCGTCCCTTCACTCTGGTATCCCTCAGCAAATATCCCACGAGCAGCAGCAATCAAAGCTTCGGGACCCTTTGGACCATGTTTACCTCGCTTTTGCCCTCGTATTATAAGTTGCAAAATTTTATTTTTGACGCGGTGGTTTGTGGTCAGTTAAGAAATCAGTTGCCTCTGGCGGTTTGCTTGACGATGTTAAGGACAATTGGTTTTCTTGCAATCTTTTATCTCTGGAAGAAAAGATGGGAAACAACTGGCTGTTTACGCCCTTTATTTAGAATTTAAGCAAAGCTGAAAGATGGAAATGATTAAAAACCTTTTTTTCTATCACCCTGCTGGCTTCCAGTAGTTGTATCACTGTGAAATCTGCAAATGATATCTCAGAAATATCACTTTTACGCAACACATATATCCCGTGCATTCTTAACTGTCGAATTGGGTGTTTCGATTTCAATTCCTGTCATATACAAACTATTCTATAAGTCCACATAAAATTAACAATAAACAAAAAATGAATGAGATTTCGCACAACCTTTAAATTGTCTCACTGAAGTAATTTACCCATAAGCACCTTCTATGCAATTTCTATAGTAAAGTATACATTTCAAAGAGAAAAGAACACATCGGAAAACATAAAAGAACATTCTAATTGAAGGCCAAAGTATTTAGCTACCAGAACTTTTTAAATTTAGAATGAAGCATCATTACATGATGGGACTGATTTAGATCCTATATGTTTGAGCAATTTTCTATTACGTCACTCATTTCAGATACTTGTTTTAAACATAACACAAATGTCCCAAGTATTGCTAAACCTGAAGTAGGTGCTAGAAATTTATATCTTCTGTGTATCATATAGAAATAACAATTAGGAATACCGTCACAAGACTTTATATAATACTGCACAACCACAACATGTCTTCACTTACAATTTGTCCATAAGCACTCTGTTTACTGTTAAAAATAAATAAACGAATAAACAAGTAAGCGACAATGTTATCCGGAAAATTATCTAAATGTATATCTGCAATCCTAACCGTGTCACCCAATCATCAATAAATTAAGTAAGGGAGGTGAAATTGCAGTTAGCGTTCCCCATTTTCAGAAATCATTGTCCTTATTCTTATGGGTTTTATTCCGGTTTGTTGTCTGTGTTTACCTTCGCGTTCTGTTTGTCCATATTCAAGTCTCGTTTATCCTTGTCACTGTCCGCGTTTCGTTTATACTTATGGAGGTACCAAGAGAGGTTTCCATAGCGGAAGGATGAGTGGCTCTAGGTTAGAATAGTCGTTTGTCTCATCACCATTGTAGTCTCCGCAAATTCCACGTACTCCTAAATTAGCGGCGGAGTGTAAGGGGGTCATGGTTATCCGGACAGAGTGCAGATAGACATTGACAGTCATTGGAACGGCATGGCAAGATATTGTGAAACCTCTTGGAGCAAAAGCACCAACGGTAACATCTCCTCCGGCAAATATGAGTGGTGGTGGTGGTGGTGGAATTGCAACCCACACAGTCCCGGACCAATACTGGAAGCAAAATGCAAACAAATATGTTAGTAAATGTCTAGCGCAATGGACTATATTTACAAGTATTGAGAACAATTACAACACACGCAGTAAACAGAGGACTGTGGCCATAGCTCTAAATTGCTTTGCATAAAATATCTAACGAGAGAGTTAGAAGGGGGCAACAAGGGATACGGTACACATAATCGACAGCTTAATACAAAATGTGTTCACTGGATTGGAAACTATTGGGAAGAAGACTCACCCACAATGCCACAGTATGACCTAAGTCAGCCCTAAAGTATTGGCCTGAACACCTAACGTAGACTTCATCGATGCGCGTTTTCGGTCCCCCATTAAAGAATTCTTGAATCGTAACCACCCACCAGGGAAGAAGCCTCCAGGGCATGACCATGATGCCACGTTTAGTAGTAGGGGTGTTATAGGAGAACTCCAGACCGTCCAGTGTACGGTAACGTACATCGCCTCGTCCCCAACAGGTGCTATTCCTAACTGAAAGTACACAGAATTTCAAGTTTGAGTATCAATAAGTGCCAATTAAAACGCATGTAAGCTTTGGAAAGCACAAGTAAATATGAAGGGTGGCAACAAATCCAGCCACCCTTTTGCCTACTATTCCGTCCAACATAAACACTAACTCCCCAAAAAGTAAGTAAAGTAAGGGGAAGCAAGGGCGTAGTATTTGACCTATGGGTAGGAAACTATTTGCACTCGCGATTGATTCTTTGAACAAATCAATAACTACAGTATACACCCATAGAACCATAAAAATAAAAAATCAAGTGATTCGATTCCACAACATAGCAAATATTTTACACTCGCTTGGCACCCAAGAAGAGCAACATTTATCTCGTCCCAATGGCAACAAAATTATTGTAGAGGCTCTAAAGTGTACGTTGATGAACAAGTTCAACAATCACGTCCGACCTGATTGTAAGTTGGTCTAGTCTACTTACTTTCGTTAGGGCTGAACTGTGGTGTATGTGAAGTGTTTCCTACATGTGGCGCTAGCTCGTTTTCAATCTGCTGGGGAGTGAGAACCGCCTCTACAACCCTACCAGGCCCAACGTAAGCCAGAAGTATAGCCACAGCCAAGGAAATAAGCTGTCGATCCATGATGTCGGTAAGCAGATATCTCAGCTGTTGTCGGTGTGGGGACGTTTATAGTTCTCAAGTTCATTTAACTTTACTGAGGTGGAATAGAAGCTACCAATAGGCGTTTAGATGAATATTAATGTTGATGTCATCGAATTTTTTAACATGTTGATTTCCACACGTGTCTCTATATTGTGACTTTTTCTTTAGTTTTAATGAGTCTGGAAAAGAGTTAGCATTTTTCTTTTTTTAATCGATCATTTGTATCCATACAGAAGTCGAAACATCTTAAAGATAGGTCTGGTAGTCGATATAGTACAGGACATGAAAGACAGCATAACGATTTTCTTGAATGGAATGCTTTGAATCTAGGAACCCTAAGGTTGATGGTCTTTTTTTGTCTGACAACAAAAACCAAGTTCAGTCAGATTTCGGAATAAAAAGGCAGTTACTTTAGAAGCTTATGAAAACAGAACTATATTTTCACTGACGTAAAAATTCTACAGTCGTCTTCGGCCTCCCTCTGCTCTATGGTGGATAGAATGATGCTGTACGTGATATTGCACACGTCATCGATAGGGCTGAAACGCAAAGAAAGTAAAAAATAATGTCTCAGATGGCGTATGCGTAATGCGGTAAATAAGTGATAAGCCTTATGTCTTCCCACAAACCTTGAGCGAGGTTAGATAACAGTTGGTGAAAGCAAAACAACACGTACTCCAGGTGTCCTGTAAACATCTACAGTGGACATGGGCTATCTGATGCTATACCTGGTATTCCAGGTGTCCTATAGATATCTTTTGTGGACATGGGCTATCTGATGCTATACCTGGTACTCCAGGTGTCCAATAGATATCTACCGTGGACACGGGTTATCTGATGCTATATCTGGTACTCCCGGTGTCCTATAGATATCTACCGTGGACATGGGCTATCTGATGCTATATCTGGTACTCCAGGTGTCCTATAGATATATACCGTGGACATGGGCTATCTGATGCTATACCTGGTACTCCAGGTGTCCTAACAATTTACATAACGAGTAAAAGCAACCAACCCAAAATCATGGTGTTAAATTGGGAAATAGGGCTTAGGATTTAACCCTGGATACCAGATAAAGGTCCGTTCACCATTAATTTATCGACCTGTCTGCTATGCAATATAACTCCACGGGGACTCTTGCTGAATTTCAATCAGATTGACAGATAAAAACGTTTCCTCCTGACGTTGAGTAGAATACAGAAAAGCTGGCAATTATACGTCCATTCACCTAAATATACAGTGATTTGAAGTATCCATAATGTGATGATCTCTTTAAATAAGAAAACGTTTGTAAATGATATGAAGTAGCTACAAAGTGTGTCGAGACGCAGTTTTAAATTCAACTCCCATGTACCTTACATATGATATTGTAGTATAATACTACAACACTGTTCTTAGACGGTACGGGTATGTGACAAGACCAAGCTGTCTTGCAAAGATAATGTTCCAAGGCACGGTTGAGTGTGTGGAATGTTGAGACAGACATGAGACATGAGCTCCTCCTAGAGCCAGGTATTGGCACATAACACCACAATGGGTGAAAGAATGGAAAAGCCTTGATTCTTATAACCACGGAATTAAGAGACAGAGAGAGAAAATTAGAGAAAAAGAGACTGTTCTACAGTATTACGCCGACATCGTGTTACAGGCATATTTCTCCCTTACCACAAACAGGTACGCATAGTAACAGGTAGCTATATGACTTAATACGTTCATTGTAATAATATTGAGAGAAAATATACATTAATTAGATGGAAATGATAAAGAAAGTTAGCAAAATTATCTGAGAATAAAGATATGGAGGCGGCTGTAGAAGGCATGAACAGAAACATGTTGAACTGGGCTCTCAATAGCTCTACATGTTATATTATAAATTAAAACTGCATGAAAACTAACAGAGGCAATTCATTTGGCAATTTTTATAATTTCACCGGGTGCCCATTTAAGTGTTGAAATACTGAAAAAAGCATGTAAAATATCATAATTTTCTTGCAATTGGTTTCTTGAGAAAATACTAGGTAAACAGAATTACTTAAATAAAAGTAATTATTTATCTCCCAAAAATCAGCGTCCCATTTTCGAAGCTTGATAACTTCATCTAAAAAGAAGATGAAATGTGGAGAAAACTGGTCAATTATTTATGCACTTAGTGTTTTATGTTCAAACTATACAGGCAAATAGAAGTTTTGCTGCCTACTTACTTCATTACTTCTGCCATCAAATGTGCAATATTGAGACACAATATACATTAATGAGATAGAAATGATAAAGAAAGCAAAATTTTGTGATAATAAATAGGTGACGGCGGGTGTAGAAGCCCTCAGCAGAATCAGATTGAATCTTCGTTGCTCTACGTGTGTATTTTCATGTTATAAGTGGGAATAGATCACTGATGAAAAGGACGTCAGAAAGAACCCTAACTGTAGTCCTATGAAAAATTACCACACTCCCCAGACCTTATGATGCAAAAGACAGGATTGTTTGAAGGTGGGTCCGTGGTATTTTAATTTGTATTTTATAAGGCAAGCTGTGCCATTTGGTACGGTTTAGAATTATGATTCAGCTAGTCAAAATTCTAATTTCAAGAAGGGGACCATTGGTGTGATTTTTTTAATCAAAGGGCCAATTATAACGGTGAAATAATNATCTGATGCTATACCTGGTACTCCCATTGTCCTCTATTATGTTTGCCATGGGCATAAACCAACTCAACAAAAATCACGGTGTTTTAATTGTTTAGGTAGACATTAGACATGAGCTCTTCCGAGAGCCAGCACACAATCTTCCAGAAGGAAAAAGAATGGAAAAGCCTCAAAGACTCTTAACCACCAAAACGATAGACACAGATAGAAGACGAGAGAGAGACTGTCTTACAGTATTACATCTACCCCAGAACCTTGTCGCAGGTAAATTTCTCCTCACCACAAACAGCCAAGCTGGTAGACACGCAGTAACAGGTACATACTGTAGTCAACATAGCTTAATAAGATACATGCTACTGATCCTTTAAATATCGTCTCTCTACACAAAGGTATTTAGGACAATGATGTTTAAGAACCCTGTATAATATAATTGATAAAACAATGTAGCATTTAGATGAAAGTTTGTCACATAGGGATAAAGCGGGCGGAGACGCGTGTAAAAATACTGAGCAAGAAGTTCAGCATTCATGGGAGATCTTGAAGCGACTCGGACGTCAGACAGAACGAACGCAATTACAAAAAAACTACATGTAAACGTTTTTATAACTATAATGGCCACACTTCTCGGGTCCTCCGATACGAAATACTTTTAAGTAAAAACAAACAGTATAAAAAAACGAAGGGTAATGAGGATTTGAAAATTTAATAACTCGTTCAGAGGAGTGGTCATTTGTTCTTGAAACAACAACTAAGTTTATAGTTATATGAAGTCCAATATGATGCAGTGACTCGTCTATATAATTAAGGCAGATATCATCAGGATTTCCAAGAGATAAAATACTAGTAGAAATGTAAAACTAGAATTATCAAAGCATACTTCAACCGGGGAAATGAAATAAAAAACGGACAAGTGTATATTCATGACAGAAAAAATGTATTACAGAAACTGATTGCAAGGGAGCTAAAGAAAATATGTTAGCATATTTCGAATTCAGAGCGTTACTTGCCTTGAGTTATACGCTAGTGGTTGAATGGAAAATTATGGAAAACTAAAGGACGTGGCTATAAGGTACATTATACAATTTAATCAGGTGTCCATAATCACGTTGAGATACGAAAAAAATTAAAAAAAGGGTTTTTCTGGAGTATGAACGTGAAAGTAAATATGTTTTAGTAACATATTTCTCTTGAAGTTGGTTTCATGAGAATATAAAAAGAATCAATAAATGCAGCATCTCATTTGCAAAATTTGATATATTTGATATAGAAATAAGAAGGAACGTAGGAAATCTGGGTTAATTATTCATAGATTTAGTGTTTTATGTTCAAAGTATACAGGCAAAGTCAAGTATTGCAGCCTTTGTAGGCGTTTACTTCAATTTTGCAATGCACTGTTGTACTGGCCAAGTTAAATCCGTGTTCTAAGGTGTGTTTCTTTCAAATGCCAACTACAGGGCATGGTGACTTAAGCATCAGGGCACTATTTTTCACTTGGCTTTTACATGGACAGGTACAAAATGTTCCCGCCTTTCGCTCGTTCTTCAAACAAAAATATGTTTATTTGAGGAATTATACAGTTATAGCGCAATATATGACAATCTTACGTGTTATGATGTAGTACTGACTAAAAAAAAAAACGATGGTGTCAGCTTGAAAAATAAGTCATGGTGATGCTCAACAGTTCTGTAAAATCTAGTTTTATTGGAGAATCCTTTTAAGAAAATGTTTTGATTTATTACATCTCTCAAAATCATCTGCTTTTGAAGAATTAAAGACGTGAAAACTCTCACAATGATATCTCTTTACAGGCATTATCTATATTACAATATAATAGCCCTATTCTACAATGCAGGTATTACTCCTCAATATGAATATCTCAGCAAACGGTTATTTGTGATATCAGACGAAATATTCATGAAATGAAATTAACTAAATGACCAGTTTTATGTGACCTGCATACACGTACAAGGTATATGTGTACACCTATGATAAAAGATAGATACTGTGATTAAGTGATGATAATGAAAAAAACATTTGAGAATCAAGTGGGAGAAAAATATCGTAAAATGCCATTTCAGTCAACTTGTTACATGTTTTCAATGAACCAGATGTCAAAGATATTCAGCTTTTCTGGCTCATATTTAAGATTAACGTATTGGCATTGAAATACGGTCAGTGATGAATGAAAAGGAATTTCTATGCATATTTGTCAATGATCTACCACAAACTCGGCATAATATTCCATTTGCTGTAGTTTGACTTTCATTTCTCTGAATATTCATAAAATACACATCGAGTTCAAAATGGAAATATACCCACATCATTGCAGTTTGTCAGATTCAATTAATCGCTATTTTCAGAATCTCAG